AACAAGTATTGAGAAACTTTTGTTATGACCAAATACTTATTTTCCACCATAATTTGCAAATAAATTCATTAAAAATCCTACAATGTGATTTTCTGGATTTTTTTTCCTCAATTTGTCTGTCATAGTTGACGTGTACCTATGATGAGAATTACAGGCCTCTCTCATCTTTTTAAGTGGGAGAACTTGCACAATTGGTGGCTGACTAAATACTTATTTTCCCCACTGTATGACTTGGGTGACTGGAGTCTGACAAATGTTTTGGGCCTTCCTCTGACACCGCCTTGTATATAGGTCCTGGAAGGCAGGAAGCTTGGCCCCAGTGATGTACTGGGCCGTACACGCACTACCCTCTGTAGCGCCTTACGGTCGGATGCCGAGTAGTTGCCATACCAGGCGGTGATGCAACCGGTCAGGATGCTCTCGATGATGCAGCTGTAGAACTTTTTGAGGATATGGGGACCCATGCCAGTCTCTTTTCAGTCTCCTGAGGGGCGGCCCGTCAGGAAGTCCAGGGAGGGAGGTGTTTAGTCCCAGGGTCCTTAGCTTAGTGATGAGCTTTGAGGGCACTATGGTGTTGAACGCTGAGCTGTAGTCAATGACCAGCATTCTCACATAGGTGTTCCTTTTGTCCAGTTGGGAAAGGGCAGTGTGGAGTGCGATTGCGTATTCTGTGGATCTGTTGGGGCGGTATGCGAATTGGAGTGGGTCTAGGGTTTCCGGAATGATGGCGTTGATGTGAGCCATGACCAGCCTTTCAAAGCACTTCATGGCTACCGACGTGAGTGCTACGGGGCGGTAGACATTTAGGCATGTTACCTTCACTTTCTTGGGCACAGGGAATATGGTGGTCTGCTTGAAACATGTAGGTATTACAGACTCAGTCAGGGAGAGGTTGAAAATGTCAGTGAAGACACTAGCCAGTTGATCAGCGCATGCTCGGAGTACACGTCCTGGTAACCCGTCTGGCCCCGTGGCCTTGTGAATGTTGACCTGTTTAAAAAGGTCTTGCTCACGTTGGCTACGGAGAGCGTGATCACACAGTTGTCCGGAACAGCTGGGGGCATAGCGAGATTTCTTATTAGCGTCTGGATTAGTTTCCCGCTCCTTGAAAGCGGCAGCTCTAGCCTTTGGCTCGGTGCGGATGTTGCCTGTAATCCATGGCTTCTGGTTGGGATATGTACATACGGTCACTGTGGGGACGACGTCGTCGATGCACTTACTGATTAAGCCGGTGACTGAGGTGGTATACTCCTCAATGCCATTGGATGAATCCTGGAACATATTCCAGTCTATGCCATTAAAACAGTCCTGTAGCGTGGCATCCGCGTCATCTGACCACTTCCGTATTGAGTGAGTCACTGTTACTTCCTGCTTTAGTTTTTGCTTGTAAGCAGGAATCAGGAGGATATAATTATGGTCAGATTGGCCAAATGGAGGGCGAGGGAGAGCTTTGTACGCATCTCTGTGTGTGGAGTAAAATGCGGTCTAGAGTTTTTTTTCCTCTGGTTGCACATTTCATTCTGGTAGAAATTAGGTAAAACTGATTTAAGTTTGCCTGCATTAAAGTCCCCGGTCACTAAGAGCGCCGCTTCTGGATGAGCATTTTCTTGTTTGCTTATGGCCTTACACAGCTGTTATTGACAAAGACACACACCCACACCCCTTGTCTTATCGGACGTAGCTCTTCTGTCCTGTCGATGCACGGAAAACCCAGGCAACTGTATATTATCCGCGTCATCGTTCAGCCACGACTCGGTGAAACATAAGATATTACAGTTTTTAATGTCCCGTTGGTAGGATAGTCTCAAACGGAGCTCATCCAGCTTATTCTCCAGTGATTGCACGTTGGCCAATAGAACGGATGGTAGAGAGCGGGTTACCCACTCACTGACGAATTCTCACAAGGCACCCTGTTCTGCACCCCCTGTATTTCCTTATTTTCTTCATGCGAATGACGGGGATTTGGGCCTTGTTTGGGAGCAACATTATATCCTTCGTGTCAGACTCATTAAATAAAAAATATTTGTCCAGTTCGAGGTGAGTAATCGCTGTTCTGATATCCAGAAGTTATTTTCGGTCATAAGAGACGGTAGCATCAACATTATGTCCAAAATAAGTTACAAACAATGCGAAACACACAAAATAGCACAATTGGTTAGGAGCCCGTAAAACGTCAGCCATCCCCTCCGGCACCATTCTTCTTCAATATCGAAAGGTTTAATTATAAAATGACCCATCAACTTCAATGAATGATGGAGATTAATTGGATTCTGCTCATGATAACATTTAAGGTAGTCCAAAGTATTTTTCCCATTGTGTTTTATCTCATTTATATTTGTTTGGTAATATGTCTTTGTCTTTTGGTTAAGTTTAGTCACAACATTTCTCAATTTACAGTATGTCAACCAACCAGCAGCCTGACTTGTTGCCAACTTATGCTTCATTTCTTTGAACCATACAATCTTTTTTATTATCATCAATCCAGGGGGCTCTAACAGTTCGCACAGTTAGTTTCTTAACAGGTGCATGCTTGTCAACAATTGGCATGAATAATTGTACAAATACTTCCAGTGCTGCATCTGGATTCACTTCCTCATACACATCAGACCAGCATACATTTTTTACATCTTCAACAAAAGAATCCTGAGAAAACATGTTGTATGATCTGTTATAAATTACTTTAGGCCCAAACTTTGGCACTTTGCCTTCCCTTGTTATTGCCACAATGTTATGGTCACTACAGCCAATGGAAACAGATATTGCTTTGGAGCAAAACTCTGCAGCATTAGTGAAGATATGATCAATACAAGTGGATGTCACAGATCCAACACTATTGGTATGCACTCTAGTTGGTTGAGTGATAACCTGGGTCATATTACAGGCATTAGTCACAGAAGCTTCCCTCTTGAGATGACAGCTAGTTGCTAACCAGTCAATGTTCAGGTCACCCAGAAAATAGAACTCTTAACATTATCAAGCATTGCACACATATTACCCCAATACTGACTGTTCGCACTTGGTGGCCTATAGCAGCACCCCAAAAGAAGAGGCTTTAGATGTGGCAGGTTAACTTGCAACCACAACACTTCAACAACATTTGACATGAGATCCTCTAAGCTTTACAGGAATATGTCTCTGAACATATACAGCAACACCTCCCCCATAGGCATTCCTGTTTTTTCTGTAGATATTATATCCCTGTATTGCTACTCCTGTATTATCAAAGGAATTATCTAAGTGAGTTTCAGAGATGGCCAGTATATGAATGTTACCTGATGTTCGCAAGTTAGATTTCATTAACCTTATTTGTAAAGCTATGGGCTATTCTTAGCCCTTTCTTGGTAGCTTATTGGAGACATACATAATATGGAGACTAAATAAATAAGACTGTGTGTCTGAGATGTTGGGTTGAAGCTACTGACCCGGAGGCTTGGCGCTCTCATTCCTCCAAGGCTTTTGAGAGGGAGGGTGGACAATGAGCCTGTTGTAGCGGAGGTAAGTAATGTTCCCATGCTCTCTGGCAGCTTTCATAGCTGGGATAAGTTCTTTCTGCCTCTGGCGCACAGCTTCAGATAAGTTTTCCAGACCTGTGGGCAAGCGCCATCTCAATCTACGTATGATCCATCTGCAGCTTTTCAGTGATAATTTTTCTTACTTTCTCGTCAGACTCGGCCCAGTTCTCATGTGGAGACTCTGGTATGCCATCCACAACGATGTTATTCCTCCTGGATTGTCCCTCTAGATAGTCTGTTTCCCCAGTCATTGTTAATAATGATTCACAGACTGCTGATGTCATCTTGAGAGGACTTACAGTTTGTCATCTTGCTGCATGACTCTTTCAGGACATCCACCTCTACCTGGGAGAACTGCAAACTGTTCTTAAGGTACTTACATTTTGATTGGTCGTTAGTTGTTGGTTTTGGGTTGAAAGGTTACACCTTCAGATGTTATAAATTGAATTAAATGCCTTTGTTCTCTCTTATCCTGTTTCCAAACCATGGAGGAAGGTTGTATGATCAATTCTCATTCCCTAGGCTTCCAGGCCTCTGGGCTAGTAAGCATCTCTTTGTTCATGCTTTGTCCTGTAAGTTAACCTTAGGATCTATATGCTTAGAATAATGCCTTGTAATGCTTGTTAATGCTTTATGCCTTGCATGTGAATCCATTCTTTGTACAATGTTAATTAAATATCTGCCTTTGATATAGACCAATTCTTAATAGTCAACGTCAACTCATTGCATAATGCTTGCTTGTATATTTTATATCTTTATGGAGTCAGATAAAAATGTTAATAGGCTAATTCCTTAGTCTTATTACGAGTCGCATGTTATGTATATATAATATACTGTATAAAAACATCAAATATTACTGCCCACTATAGCGGTCTCAGCCACAATGGCTAACTGCATCGCGGGCTGTGTTCAAGCTGTAAAAGAAACCTTGCTAGCTAGTTAACAGCTAGCTAGCTGCTACACCAAGCAGCTCTTCATTCTAACTTTTGGTAGGCAGGATCCCTGGACAGATATAGTGGTCGCAGCAACTGAGGCTAAATGCGTTGCAGGATCAAAATTAAAAAAGGTAACTAGTAACCAAACTTTTTCAATAGAACCAATTTTTCAGATACTTTTAAAACATCAAACCGACCTCTCCCTCTTTACGCTTTCAACAACTGACGTTCAACCTTCAAAAGCGTTGCATAAATGGATGAACAACTTAAATGAACAGATTATATGCTTCAAGAGATGTCTAATAATAAAAAAGGCCACGAGAAACTAAATCCAATAGGCCATGATGACAACGGCATATGTGCCAAATGGCCTACATGGCTGTGCCTTATTAGTTCTGCAGGTAAACATTGCGACAATATTAAGCAAGCATAACTTCAAATTATCTTATACACATACACTCAAGTAAGCTAATCGTAAACAATTCTATAATATAAAAGTGACATTACAGAATATCAAGAGATATATAATCCTTTTCTATTGTGTCAGATTATTTTAATTTACCTGCATGCCCATATGTAGAGGCACCATTGGGAGCCTCAGGTCATTCATTCGTCCTCTTCCTCCACCGAAGTCTCCCATCCCAAATCCGGGGAACCTCCCTCTTAATCCTCGACCTCTGAATCCTCCTCTATCTCCTCCTCCTCTTCCTCCTCGGCCCCCAAAGCGGCCCTGCTTCCTCTGGCGCTCCTTCTCCTCAAACTCCATCAGGTCTGCTTTGGCCTCTTCAGACAGCTCTGGTGGGCAAAACACAATCACCACGAGGTGAACATTAGAACATTCAAATACAACCCATTCAGTAAGACTTGCTCAAACTGCACTTGAGCATTTTCTTTTGATCCAAATTGTGTAGGTGCATGAGTTAAACTTGAAATGCCCTTCAACCATAAGCAACGCAACCAAACAAAGCACAAAATCTATTACAGTTTATATAACACTGCATAAAAATAATAAAATGTACCTAATGTTTCAGGAATGTTTCTTCTTTTGGTTGCTGCATCCGCCAGACGCACAACACCAGACGTGACATCCTTACGCTCCGTTTTGAACCGCAACCGGCCAGACTCTCCATCATCGTCTTCCTCTTCATCCTCGTCTTCCTCCTCCTTCACTTCTTCCTTTGGCTCTGGTTCATTCTCAGCCTTTGGAAATATAGGAATCATCTTAGCCATCAATTATGAACAACCCATTAGATACAGCTAACTGCCAAAATAATGGAAACACGAGGGAAAATGAGGGATACAAAGTATATTGAAAGCAGGTGCATCCACACAGGTGTAGTTCCTCAGTTAATTAAACAATTAACATCCCATCATGTTTAGGCTCATGTATACAAATGCTGGGCAGGCCATTAATTTCGCGCAATATTATTATTTTAGGAAGACAATGCCCCCATCCACAAGGCAGGAGTGGTTACTGAATGGGTTGATGAGCATGAAAATAATGTAAACCATATGCCATGGCCGTCTCAGCGTTCTCCACCACCATCAACAAAACACCAAATGATGGAATTTCTCATGGAAGAATGGTGTTGCATCTAGTGTTGTCACGATACCAACACTTTACTAACGATACGATACCAGGCCAAGTATCACGGTACCATGGGGTAAAAAATATATATATATCAGTGGCCTAGCGTCCTGCTCGCCCCATCCCCCCATCATGCATATGTACTACACAAAATGAAAGTCTCACTGAAAGTCACTCTTCTACTCAATACAACATTGAATTTAACTTCACACTGTTCAGTGTATAATAGAATACTGCATAGAGCTGATTGCTCATATTTGCAAAGGCGTACCTGGGATTTGGCTGGAGGAATGGGAGGAAGGAATATATTAATACACATACATAATGACCTGCATGTCATTGTGGCACTAAGGGGAAAACAGACACACACACCCTCCCTCACACATCATCTCCCTTGCTCTCATAAACTCACCACTCTCTCTCTCCCACAAACACACACTGCTCCCAACTTTTACATTTACATTACGCACCAAACAGAATTTATAGGAGCACCAGAAAGAAATTGATTTGTAATATAGTTTAGACCTATATGAATCCTACCTTTGAAGCACATCTCATGAGTAGCAGACCCTTTTCCTTTCTTCCTGTGCCAATCAAATTTTCCGAAACCTACAGTCAAGTTACCAGGTTGTTAGCTAGCTAGGTAACATGACTGAACAACGTCGTTTGTTATCAAACCAATAATTAGCGACCAGGGATTAGTTTAGAAACGGCCCACGACATGGTTTGTGAAATTATATAAAATGTGCGCGAATCCCGATAGAAAAAAAAGGCATCTCTGGTAATATGGGTCATATTATTTTTTACCATTTAGGCTAGTTTTCTTTGCTGTAAAGCTGCAAGCATGCCTGTCCATTTTTCCTCTGGCATTCAGAGGCTGCATGAAGGTGATCTTGCAAAGTCTAATCAGACTGACCTTTGCTCTTGGTTATAACAGGTGATGAAATTATAAAATATATCAACATTGCTCACTGAGCGCGCTGCTCCAATGTAACAAATGTACAAATCTAACAACCGAACACTCATCTGGGTCTGCATCCCGCTCGCCATCACGGCTAAATTAAACTGAACAAAAATATAAAACGCAACATGTAAAGTGTTGGTCCCATGTTTCATGAGCTAAAATAAAAGATCCCAGAAATTGTTCATAAGCATAAAAAGCTTAATTTCTTTCAAATGTTGTGCATACATTTGTTTACATCCCTGTTAGTGAGAATTTCTCCTTTGCCAAGATAATCCATCCACCTGACATATCAAGAAGCTGATTAAACTGCATGATCATTACACGTGTACCTTGTGCTGGGGACAATAAAAGGCCACTCGAAAATGTCACAACACAATGCCACAAATGTCTCAAGTTCAGGGAGCGTGCAATTGGCATGCTGACTGCAGGAATGTCCACCACAGCTGTTGACAGAGAATTGAATGTTCATTTCTCTACCATAAGCCACCTCCAAAAATCTTTTTAGAGAATTTGGCAGTAAGTCCAACCGGCCTCACAACCGCAGACTACGTGTAACCACGCCATGCCAGGACATACACATCTGGCTTCTTCATCTGAGGAATCGTCTGAGACCAGCCATCCGGACAGCTGATGAAACTGTGGGTCTTCACAAAAAGATTTTCTGCACAAACTGCCAGAAACTGTCTCAGGGAAGCTCATCTGTGTGCTCGTCGTCCTCACAAGGTTCTTGAACTGACTGCAGTTCGGGGTTGTAACCGACTTCAGTGGGCAAATGCTCACCTTCGATGGCCACTCTCACGCTGGAGAAGTGTGCTCTTCATGGATGTTGTGAACAGAGTGCCCTATGGTGGCGGTGGGGTTATGGTATGGGCAGGCATAAGCTATGGACAACGAACACAATTGCATTTTATCGATGGCAATTTGAATGCACAGAAATACCGTAACGAGATCATGAGGACCATTGTCGTGCCATTTATCCGCTGCCATCACCTCTCAGCATGATAATGCACGGCCCCATGTCGCAAGATCTGTACACAATTCCTGGAAGCTGAAAATGTCCCAGTTCTTCCATGGCCTGCATACTCACCATACATGTCACCATTGAGCATGTTTGGGATGCTCTGGATCGACGTGTACGACAGCGTGTTCCAGTTCACGCCAATATCCAGCAACTTCACACAGCCATTGAAGAGGAGTGGGACAACATTCCACAGGCCACAATCAAACAGCCTGATCAACTCTATGCGAAGGAGATGTGGCGCGCTGCATGAGGCAAAATGACCTTTTTTTTTTAAAGGTATCTGTGACCAACAGATGCATATCTGAATTCTGTGAAGTCATGTGAAATCCATAAATTAGGGACTAATGAATTTATTATTTCAATTGACTGATTTCTTTATATGAACGGTAACTCAGTAAAATCTTTGAAATTGTTTGAGGTTGCGTTCATATTTTTTTCCCATGTATATTTGAAAAGCTGATGGAGGAATATATGCGCATGAAGAGCCGACGGAGAGAAACAGGTGAGTGAGGGCTGGTACGGGATGTGGCTGGCTGATTACAGCTGCCACATGTGATATGCACATGAAAGTGAAGTGGATATTATTGGCCGTGCCCATACAAGAGACTAGTGGCTATTGCTTGAATTCAACAGAATTTATAAACTGTCTTTATAATAATAATAATATGCCATTTAGCAGACGCTTTTATCCAAAGCGACTTACAGTCATGTGTGCATACATTTTTGTGTATGGGTGGTCCCGGGGATCGAACCCACTACCCTGGCGTTACAACCGCCGTGCTCTACCAGCTGAGCTACAGAGGACCACCTTTAAAAACATTTCATAACGGGCACCAGCAGGTTCTGAAAAATATGGTAGTATCATATGAAACGGTACCAAAAAAAGATTGGTATCGGAAGTATCATGACGTTTTGGTATTGTGATATTACCGCGTTACCGGTATACCATGCAACACTAGTCGCATCCCTCCAATAGAGTTCCAGACAATCTAATAAATAATATAGATTTCAGTTGTCCAAATAGACAAGTACCATTCTTTAAATAATCATAACAATCTAACAATTATTAGATCAGAGAAGCCAAAAAATTGGATCAGAGAAGCAAACATTGGAATAATATTCAAAATCTATTTTTCATGTACATAAATAAAAAAGCCTCCATGTCAAAGTGTAGGTGATATGCATACAGGCTACAGCCTCATGTCCAAACCGATGCTGACATGAGGGAGGCCCAGAAAATGTAGCCAAACTTTAATGAGATTTTTAATTACATAAATATAGGCTAAACGCCAGTCATGTTTGACAAATATAATGAAGGATAATTAACATTAACGTCTAAATGGTCACAAGATCAGAGAGTGAAGGACAGTGCCTGTTGCGCACCACACATCACCCACATTGAATCTGAGCGGAGGCGGTCAGCATTTAGAAAATTATTTAACCATGAACTTAATTGTTTAAAACCTGGACATTTTATATCATTTTATGAAGTACGTCTGACAGTGCTTTCAGAAAGTATTCACACCCCTTGACTTTTTCCACATTTAGTTGTGTTACAGCCTGAATTTAAAATGGTTTCAATTTAGATGTTTTTGTCACTGGCCTACACACAACATTCCAAAGTGGAATTATGTTTTAGGAAATGTTTTACAAATCAAAAATGAAAAGCTGAAATGTCTTGAGTGAATAAGTATTCAACCCCTTTGTTATGACAAGACAAAATAAGTTCAGGAGTAGAAATTTGCTGAACAACTTACATAATACATTGCATGGACTCAATGTGTGCAATAATAGTGTTTAACATGATTTTTTAATGACTACCTCATCTCTGTACCCCACACATACAGATAATTGTAAGGTTCCTCAGTCGAGCAGTGAATTTCAAACACGGATTCAACCATTGACCAGGAAGGTATTCCAATGCCTCGCAAAGAAGAGGACCTATTGTTAGATGGGTAAAACATTTTTTAAGCAGACACTGAATATCCCTTGGAGCATGGTTATTAATTACACTTTATATGATGTATCACTACAAAGATACAGGCGTCCTTCCTAACTCGGTTGCCGGAGAGGAAGCAAACCGCTCAGGGACTTCACCATGAGGCCAAATGGTGACTTTAAAACAGTTTAATGGCTGTGATAGGAGAAAACTGAGGATGGATCAACAACATTGTAGTTACTCCACAATACTAACATACAGAGTGAAAAGGAGGAAGCCTATACTGAATAAAAAAAAATCGAAAATATGCATCCTCTTTGCAACAAGGCACAAAAGTGATACTGCTACAAATGTGGCAAAGCAATTAACTTTTTGTCCTGAATACAAAGTGTTGTGTTTTATTGGATTTGCCCCAAACATATTACTGAGTACCACTCTCCATATTTTCAAGCATAGTGGTGGCTGCATCATTACATTAAAATTGTAGTCATTTAGCAGACGCTCTTATCCAGAGCGACTTGCATAATATTGTGAGTGCATAATATTTTTTTTTTTTCATACTGGTCCCCTGTGGGAAACGAACCCACAACCCTGGCGTTGCAAATGCCATGCTCTACCAACTGAGCTACACGGGACTTGTTATGGGTATGCTTGTAATTGTTAAGGACTGGGGAGTTTTTCAGGATAACAAAATAAATGTAATGGAGCTAAGCACAGGCAAAATCCTAAAGGAAAAACTTGGTTCAATCTGCTTTCCACCAGACACTGGGAGATGAATTCACCTTTCAGCAGGACTATAACCTAAAACACAAGGCGAAATCTACACAGCAGTTGCTTACCAAGAAGACAGTGAATTTGGCCGAGTTACAGTTTGGACCTAAATCTGCTTGAAAATCTATGACAAGGCTTGAAAATGGTTGTCTAACAACGATCAACAACCAATTTGACAGATCGTGAAGAATTTTGAAAATAATAAATGGGCAAATATTGTACAATCCAGGTGTGCAAAGCTCTTAGAGACTTGTGTGAATACTTATGTAAATCATACAAAAATGTTTCCACTTTGTCATTAGGGGGTATTGTGTGGATCTGTCGTCCCAGTGTCTGTTTTGAACCGTAGACATATTTTTTTGGGGTTGTAATTATAATGTTGCAATATTTTATAGGCTACCAAGGGTGGCAAACTATCCTCCAAGAGAGCCTTAAAGGGGCAGTGTTGTATCTTGAGACAAGCTTGAATATAAGAAGCCAATAGGCAGAGTGTAGCCTTTTATCTTGCATCATACAATGATGTAAAAATGGTGTTACAGACCTTTTTTTTTTGGGGGGGGACAAGTTATTATAAAATTATTATTAAAGTCCTACTTGTCCAAAGGACAACTGGCTAAAAATGTTAAGTCCTGTATAGGCAATATATAGGGAATAGGGTGCCATTTAGGATGCAACCAGTGAGTGAGGGAGACCCGTTCTGTTCATACCTCTGTGTCTGCGAGCTGAGAGACTTCCTCCTCCTCTCCCTCTGGGGCTTCCTGTTGCTCTGCCTGCTCCTCTCCACCTCCATAGCTTGGTGAGTAATCATCCACCTACAACAACAAGTGGAGAGATCCAGAGTCAATATTCAAAATAGGCTAAGTGTCATAGATGTATTGTACATTCTACCATCCTATTATGGCCCATATTTACTGTCAATGTTAGCAGGATATTAACACTGGCCTGAGATTACAGCTTGTGTGGGTTTAGCCTAACTTTATCCCCATGGAAATGATGTGAAAGGAATAATGGTTGAGCCAAAAATACTGGCGTGTTTCCTTTTAATGAAAATATTAACAGCGAGCATCAAGGAGAAAACATTGAAATGTTATGGGGGGGGGGGGGGGGGGGGGGGGGGGGGTTAGAAAGGGGGAGCCTCTTGAATTACCATAACAGTGGGAGCAGGCTTCATTACCAATTCCTGACAGCATTTGAAATTCTATGAGATGTAAATGTTTGACATGATATACAGAAATGTGGGGGGAGATAAAAACAACCTCTGGATCAGTGACGGTGAAAATATAATTGTGCTAGCTACTGCTTTATTGTCCCACTCTAGAAGTTCACGACTCAATGCCAGGAGGAACATCACACACACAGGAAGCTGACTACAGTTTCATGGTGCCGAAATCCGGGATTCCAGTTATACAATAATTCCGGTAATAACAAATGTTGGCTATCCAACGTGTACTTGATATACCATGTGGTCACAACTCGCGTAATTGCGCTCATTTCAAAGCACACTTTCAGTGAGAACCCACTAGGTGATTCATGACTGTCAAAAGACAGGTCACAGGACAGTGTTTGGTGTTCTGCACCATTAACCTGCCAACCCAAAACATAATATTGCAGACAAATACCCATTGCAGCAGAAGGATAGACAGACTACCCAGAGGGAACAGAAAGGGCTTAATCCTTTAAACTGTTCCACATGTTACCTCTGAATACCACCGCAAACAGAAGTGTTAAGCCCAGGCAGTCGAGTGACTTTGTAAACATAGTTATTACAAACAATAGTGCTCTACGTACTCACTGGGGTTTTTCTAAGTAAGTATGAAGTAGAACTGTCCAACCCTACTTAGAATATCAAAGGCTTTATCTTTAGTGTGTAAAAAAAGTGATGTCTTGTCAGCCATCACACCTTAGTAAATAGGACTATTACAGACGTCACATGGATCTAGTCTTATCTTTTCCCCTCTTCACTCTTGGCTACGAGGTCTGGGAAAGAAATAAAGGAGGAAATTGCATCAATCATTTCAGGACTGTATGGGGTGTCCATAGGAAGGTCAATAATCTTTCCACCAATGTGAGATTTTATCAGATTGAGTCGAGTGCCCGATATAAAAGCCCCCCGCGTTAACCACTGCCGATTGGCAGTGCGTCTTCCTCGCACAAAGTGGCTATTTAGCCAGACAAAGATACAGGGCCCAACGGCACCAAGCATCACAGCCGACAGACACCAGAGCATTACCTACTTACTGCCAAACAAGATGTCAGTGAAAGGAGAAATCAACTGGCGGAGAGTGATAATGAATCCCACCCCCACCTTCAACCCCTATCCAAAGCACATCCCCTTTAGCATCCACTGAATATATTGATACGTGCCCCCTGAAACCCAAGACAGAGGAAGAAACGTTATCGTTTCAAGATACAATGGAGTAAAACAGAAAGAGGGGAGACGAGGACTCACTTGAAATTCATCGTCTAGAGGCTCATTGATTTGAATGTCTAACACTCCGTCGCCCCCAGCCTGTTCTCCTGAGTATTCCATTTGGCCGTCTGGCATCTCCATGTCATTGGGCTGGCTGTACTCGTCCACGTACTCTCCCCCCTCCTGCTGGTAGCCCCCCTCTACATCTCCTAGGTGTTCTGGGTAGTCTATGGGGTTCACCTGCTGGTCAAATTCGCATAGAGTAGCATTGAGGCTAACACCCTGGCCGCTGAAAGGCAAAAACATACAATTATAAACAAAGGACACTGTAGCTCAAAAATTGCCACATCATGTCTAAAGGACTAAGTATGGAAATGCTATTAGCATGATCAGACAACGTGGATACAATGAACTTACATGTTTTGATCTTCTTCATCACTTTGTAGAAGGTCATCGTTCAATTCCTCATCTGACACTTCTGAGGGATTCTAAAAACAAGAAAAACAACCCAGAATGGATCAGTATGTTTTAGCTCATGTTGTTCATTCCTTGCACACCCAGGCTTTAAATGGCAAGGTCGACTATTGTACAACTACAGAATATCAACCAAAAGTGATATTATGATTGAATGTGTAGTCCTACACATGTTCAAATCGGATTGCTAATCACAGATTTTAAATAAATACTTGAATCAATAAAATAGTGAGTTTAAATAAACATGGGGGGGGATCTCCTCCAGTCCAAAAGGATGCTTTATTCCTATGTGTGAAGTCAATCTGAGCAGATTAAGATAATTTCTTTTTGCCTACTGTACTTGCTCCTGGTTCACATCAATAAATTCCCCTGTGGAGGAGCCCCCTGTCACAAGCCTACTGCAAAATTCAACATCACTGTGAATTCAATCTATGGGATCTAGGCTATTTCACCTATCCTACAGCTGGTAGGCTACATTAATAAATCCATGCATAATAGGTTAGCATGGCAGAGGCATCTATGAATGCTATGAAGGTAATCACAAACAGAAGCGATGGAGAGTTAGTCTTACCTTTTTGGCTGTCAGCCAATCCTCCTCGAGCAAATCACTCTCAAGATCACTTTAAGAGAAGAGATAAACCAAGTCAGCATAGCTCATTTTACAAAGCTAGGTATTGGTCTACTCTCTATGCACGTTTACAGCTAGTCTAGACAGGATTATTTAATGAAGCCTAAATTATCATTCTCATGAGCATGATAAGCAAATGCCAATGTTCCACAATATTTACACTAGGCCTGACTCTGCAAGGCCAGATACAAATGTTGTTCTCATAGGCTGCAGTCACTGTATCGTTCCTGGGTCATGTTCGGTTGGTCCCAAACAGGAGCAAGCACTTCAAATGTACCAAGTCAATTTCTCTCCTACTAGGTATTCTCATACAAATCTACATCATATTCAGATCATAAGCTCATTATATTGTTTCTTATATTGTTGTGAAAATGATTTAGTCTAAATTACAATAGTATACTTTTTGTATATATCGCCCAGCTCCATTCATGAACACACTTGGGAAAAATATGTGATGACATTGTCACAAGGTCTCCACAACAGAAAGTCTCTGCCTAAAATCTATTTTAGGACTATACTTTGTGCATGAGTAATGGGCTTCATTGATGGAGTAAGGAACTACTGCACTAGTATAACCTAATGTCAGAGGACATTAAAGGGAAAACGCATGCAAAACCTAGCCCTTGATCATGACTCTCAGTTCCATTACATTACAAATAAGAGTCATTAGACGAAGGCAACTTCTGTATGCGGGAGTTTTGTTTAGAGTCCCGACGCTAGGTCTGAACATTAACATGCATCGCTTGCGGTATGGTTTTGGAAGCATAAGGACCTTATTTTTCATATCTGCAGAAAATATTTTCTTTTTTAAAAACCTTTACAGGGTTATTGTTCCCATTCGGCCATCTCTCCCATTCGGCCATACAGCGCTTGTTTACGGAAAAACAGACAGAAGACAAGAGGCGACCGACCACCTGTGCTAATTAGCCATCTAGCATGCTCCGAACACCTGTGTGTAAGCATAACTCGAAGTGTAGCATAAGTGTAGTTGCGTCAGATGGATACACCCTTTGCTGTATGGATCTATGCAAAACTGCTACAGTAAGTGTATTGTTTTTTTTATCACATTTTATTGGTCACATACACATATGTAGCAGATGTTATTGCGGATGTAGCGAAATGCTTGTGTTCCTAGCTCCAACTGTGCAGTAGTATCTAACAATTCACAACAATACATACAAATCTAAAGTAAAAGAATAGAATTAAGAAATATATAAATATTAGGACGAGCAATGTCAGAGTGGCATTGACTAAAATACAGTAGAATAGAATACAGTATATACATATGAAATGAGTAAAGAAGTATTCTTTCTCGCTGATGAAAGATAAGGGCCATACGTTTCGAAAGCCGTATCACAAGCATTGATTATTGATGTTTCTAAACGTTAAAACACAGCGGGGGGATTGTAGTTCACATGAGGCATCCGTGGGCGAAGCGAATGGCTGAGAACTGTAAGGAGAAGGCATAATGCTGCCTAGAGTTTGAGAGCTACAGTATGTCATGCGTGCATACACAAAAATGTAATGTAAATGTAAGTCGCTTTGGATAAAAGCGTCTGCTAAATGGCATATTATTATTATTATTATTATTATTACACCAAGCAGCAGAGATACCTGTCTAAATTATCATCTTCGCCTCTCCTCCTGCGTGATCTCTCTGCACCTGGCTTGTCATAATCTTCAAAGTCATCATCTGAAAACAAAAAGACAAGGCTCTGTTAACTTGTTTGCTGTCAGGGTCTTGGCAAATGATTAAGACGTGGGAAACCCGGTGTGAAAACTCAGGCCAATCAATAACATGAATTGATCAATTAGAGAAACGAAATCCCGCAATTGACAACCACTGTTGTTTCAATGAATGACTGATGTGGTCAGCTAACTAACTATAACAGCTTACTAAGCAACAAGGGTTTAGTATTTGTAATGATATTTAGGCTCTTTTAGATAGTTCAAAGCAATGAAAATGTAGCAACAAGCTAACGTTAGCCAACTGCAAGAAATGCAACGTTAGTTAGCTAACGGTAGCTAGTTGTTAGCTAAAAATATCAGCACACTAGACAACACGGTAACATGCACATTCAAACGTTGGAACTAAATACTACACAGAATGAACTTGTATCGTGTGACGCCTAGTCATAGTGTTTACAGATTAATTATCGTAGCTAGCTACATTTTAGGCCAATGCGGCCTATCTCATCTTGCTAGCAAACCAAACGTCTACCGAAATAATTGTGGTAACTATACCTCCGGGGATGTCCGCCATTACGCAAGACGGTTTCCTCAGTGCAGGCGAAATTCTATACAATTGAAGAATACATTGAAATCTTTACTATTTTGTGTTAAAATCAAGCTAATGCTACAGCTAACGTTGTTTACCACAATCCGCAGAGAATCAGAACATAACCATTGCAGAGTGAATGAGATCTGATGCATTCTGGGATAGAATAATGTTCTTCCTAAGCGCTGAACCAAAGTCAGTTTATCTTACCTACAACCTATCGATTTAATTTTTGTGTGTAGGATAAACCGATCTTAGATCTTTTGGTAAACCTCTGCAGTTCATGAGACCCAATAAGTATGCATGAGATCAAATTACATGTATGAATAATGCATGAAACTGTAAAAGTACACATATTTTCTTAATTAGAGTAGGAGATACCATATAGCCTACAATACACTAGCTATTCAATATCAGTAATTTGGGTAACGTGGGGTAACTAAGAACAATGTCCAATTGCTGACACAAAAAAACAAAGTTTGGTAAAAAAATTAGGTATGTGGATGATGGTCATGCTTTAGGCAAACAAACTATGAAGGGAAATAAGTGGGTAGAGTTTACACTTTTTACAAAATGGCATTGCACGTCTCACTATTAATATCCTCACTATGATGAGATGTTGATGTAAGGTCCCTCTTACATGTCAGAGGAAAGCCCTGAAAATTATCAAAGACTCCAGTCACCCTAGTCATAGACTGTTCTCTCTGCTACCACACGGCAAGCGGTACTGGAGCGCCAAATCTAGGTCCAAAAGGCTTCTTAACAGCTTCTACCCCCAAGCCATAAGACTCCTGAAAGAGCTAATCATGGCTACCCGGACTATTTGCATTGCCCTCCCCCCCACCCCACCCCCCAACCCCCTCTTTTACGCTGCTGCTACTTTGTTTATTATTTATGCATAGTCACTTTAACTCTACCCACATGTACATATTACCTCAATTACCTCGACTAACCTTGGGGGGGGGGGGGGGGCTGTTTACCCCACGTTACCCTTCTACCCCAATTTCCCATTCTTCTAAAATATTGTTTTTCTACCGAAGATATGGCACCTTTCAGTTTTCCAACATGCATATTGAATATATATTTTTCAATGCTATCAGGTTTCACTATTGCTTGATAGCATTATTGTGACTGATTAATATGCTTTCTCATCAAAACCATGCAGTAGCACCATCGATCTTGTCTTATTTTCTGTATCATGCTTAGTGCTGCGTTGAAGCATCCCATCAATTTAATTTGTGGTCTGACTGCATAGAGACTTTCCTCTGGGATTGTGATTTGGATAGGAAACGGACAATGCTTATCAGTCTCACTGGCAGCTTTAGGAATTAAGAGAGGGGAAATGTCACAAAAATAATTTGAGGATATTGGGTTTGTCACAATGATGTTGGAGTGGAATTGTGAATAAAAAGTGAAATATCCTTAACAAAGGACTCAGTCCCTTGGGAATAACTTGAGGTTATCAATCACTCTCAGATCTATACTATTTAGGTCAGTAACTGACTGGTGTAAACATGACCAATGTAAATAGATTGTATTTTACTTGATGTTTCTAGATAAACACATGCAATTTACATTGAGGTCTAGTCATTATGCAATTCCAGAACTGAAGTTAATCTTATTGAAGTGATTCAAGTCAGTTCTTAGATTTTCCTTCTTTTTGGACCAAAGCCTTTTCAGTTAACGTTACAAAGGTTTTGGCATATCATGCTTTTTTTCTGGTTTCCATTCTAAATTCTGGAGTCTATTAAGCTCTGAAGAAGGATTCCAAGTAGTTGTCTGCCTGACTCTTCAGCCAGACTTTGCAGCTGGGTCGTTTCACCAATTCGGTGCCTTTTGAGAAGTGTAACTTGGTCAAAAAATAACTTTTGATTTCACCTAGTTAGTCATAAAGAGCACATGTTCATCTTAATAAAAAACATGTTTTCCCATCTCAAGAGGTTAAATTAAAAAATGACTATAGTAAGTGGCTATTAAGTGCCAAATAAAGTAACAGGGTTGACTGTAACAAGGTTGACCGCAACAGGGTTGACGATTTCCTCTTAAATCACCCATGAATCCCCTTGTGACAGGGGGAATGGAAGCTTGTTGTGTGCAACAGGGAATGG